GGTTCTCGACCCTGGATTTTTTGGCAGCTGTCATCTCGGCAGCTGCAGCGACGGGCCTCAACCCGGACCCGCCTAAGGGACGAGGGGGAGGAACAGAACCGCCAGTCGGCTAGTCGGACGATTGGCCCTTCTTGAGCTCGAAGCGTTTGAGTGCCTTAACTGAAATAATAGAAGAGAAGTTAGTATATGAAGAACACTTACCAGTCGTGATTCGAATAATCAAAGCTTATAAACAGTTGCACAAGGAAGTATGTTAAAAGCTTACGAGGATCATCGAGACGAGGAAGGTCCTCGTAGATGACGATACGGGCATGATTGACCAATTCACTGTCCTTTATCAACTGACGAGCACTATACGTATGCTTATTAAGCTCAGTCAGGAGAGTAGCGAACTCGTCAGAACGAGGCCGTTTATTTTGTTTCACCTTCGAGGTTATCCATTTATTTACATAAGGATATATGCCAGAAGCAGGTCGAATGAAAACGAACTTCGATTTCCACTCGGTGACATTCGACGAGAGATCGTCAAAAAAGGTAACACCAGCACGGCGACCCAGGCAATGAGCGCCTTTGGAGAGTCAATAACCGTAGCAATAGAAGAAAAACTCGGGCGAGAAGAATTTGAGTATTATTCGGGAGACGACTATAAAGGCTATCATAATACGGATAGCATTTGGAGAGAATTGGTTTATTGGGATATTATACAGGTTACTTATCAACAGAAGCTCATCTTGGATAGGGAAGCGAAGGCCGAAGACGATTTGGTCTACAAAAAATGTATGACAACCGGGAGGAGGGTGAGCGAAGTCGTCATTGGGACCTGGGGCGACTAATTCCCAGTCGGAAGGAAGCCCACTAAATTTCCTGAAACCCTCAACTTCGGCTGCAGAGGCATAACAAAATGGATTTAGAATAGCTAACCTAGCCAGGGGACAAGCTATAGATACAGTATTTTGAGAATCGAGAAGAGGAGTAACTATTGGTACAGATACAGGGCTCGTTCTATAAACAGGAATATCTAAGAACCTAAGAGGAATACCTCGGGGAATGAGATCGAGACGAGGAAGATTTCCTCGAGGAGGGCTCTTCACAATGTCGACTAAGCCGCCCTCCAAGAGCGCTTGGTCGTGCTGCTCCCAGTCGGCGGAGGAAGCAGTGGCGAGAGGAAGAGAAGAATGGGAAGGCAGCGAAACCATCTTATAGCCGGTCACCTCGACGGAATCAGAACTGGAACCCTCGTCGACAGGATGAGTATAGTCGTTGATCTGCTGACCGAGAGAGCCAGAGAGAGGAGACGAGTCGGAAGCTGAGGAAAGAAAAAGAAGGAGAAGGTCGAAGTTAGTAAAGTCGCTAGTTAAGGCCTACAAGAATGAATCAGGTCGACTCGCAAGAATCGACAGAAGATAAAAGGACAAAGAAGGGGCAATCGCTATTGATAGCTCGACTTAAATAAATCAGTAAGTCAATCTTAGTCGACTCGGCGGGGCAAAACTGAATAAATAAGACCACTAAGTCGACAAGAGCCGACTTAGCGACAGGTAAAAGTCGACTGCACATCGGCAGCCGACGACCGGTAAAAACAATAAATCCTAGCAGAGTATACGCGTAAAGAGATCCAACGCAAAACCCATAAGAAATTCGTCAAGAACATGAAGAACACGCACGACCTCCAGATTCGGAAAAAGCCAGAAAAATAAAAAAAAATAAAAAAGAGAGAAGAAGAAGGAAGAAAACAATAGAAATCTAAAAGATGAGAGAAGGTAGTGAAACTTACACATGATGCCTTGATGAGTTCGGAGAAAATGCTAAGTTGCCGGAGAAAGAGAGCGCCGGTGAAGCCGAAGAACAGAAATCGCAGGAGAGTTGGAAGCAGTGGGAAGATCAGAGAAGTTGAAAGCGTGAAAAGCCATATGAGGCCAACTCGCAATGTATTTATACACGGGGGCAATAGATGCGAACCGTTGGATCGATAGTAGAACCAACGATCCTGATGAAGCGCATAATTCGAGGAGTCGGCGATGGAGGTGACACGTGTCACTTTAGGGTTTTGAAATTTGAAATTTGAAATGGGTCTGTCAGAGTGTCAGACTTATCCGAAAAAGCAATCATGAGATTGAGGTGCGCCCTAATTGATTGACGAGACGAGTTGCAGAAGAGGCCAGTACGAGCAAGAATGGCAGGAAGGCGACACAACTATACCTCACCTAATTTACTCTTAAGCAGCCGACTGCTTAGAGTAATTTTTGGGGGGGACTAGATGATATAGCCACATAAGGATAGCCCAGTCTAGAAGCTTCCTACTCGACCGGTGAACCACTCGAACAACCCGTATGTCGACAGGACTCTGTCGACATTCTCACACCGACTTCCCTAAAGACGATTCTACTGAGCAATCGAGAAGAGAAAGAAATTGGTCTAGTCGACTCTCCCAAGTCGACCTTAGTCTATCGACTTTTACTAGTCGACATCAATGAAAGAAGGGCATCAAGAGTATAACGCCCGGACATCCCGATATCCTAAGTCGACCCTCAGCAGTCGACTGAACTAAGACGACTTTTTGAAGACGACTTCACCTCAAAGAAGTAGTCAAGCGTAGCCTCCGAATCCGCGCATATCCACAAGTCGACCTCCTAGCTCTCGAAGTCGACCTCGCATACCTCGAATAGCAAAGATATGATGACGACTCATCACACTTATAACATACTTAAAGTTATACACATTACAAAGGATAAGAAGGAATCTGGTGATGACTCAGCAACAAGGGGAGACGAATCGACCAGGGCATTTTGGACCTTCTAGGTCCACCGACTTGGGCATTCTGGGTACTTCAGGTAAATACTCACTCCTATATAAATGAGGTGAGGTAACCCAAAACCTAACTCTCATTCATTCCCACTCTCCCCCATAGCTGCTGCGCAGCCTCTCTTCATCACTCTCATACTGACTTGAGCGTCGGAGGCTCAACGCCGGAAACACCTCCGACGTTGAGCTTTTGCAGGTATCTCGCGGTCTAGCAATGATTCAAAGGCGGTTCAAGCAGATCTGAGCTCACATCCACCGGTTTACTCCAGAATCTGGAAGTAGACCCATCAATATTGTTAATATATTGTATATACATATATATTATAATTTGACATATAGTATATATTATATAGTATATAGCATATTGTATATACAATTGAAGTCAAATTAGTACAATTAAACTCAAATTAGTACAATTGAAGCCAAATTAGTACAATTGAACTCGAATTAGTACAATTGAACTCAAATTAGTACAATTGAAGCCAACTTAGTACAATTGAACTCGAATTAGTACAATTGATTTGTGAACGCATTGCTTGATTGTTGCATCTCACATTTTCAGAAGATAGCATTGCTTGATTGTTGCATCTCACATTTTCAGAAGATATCAGTTGCAAGCAAATAACTTTGTAAAAGGTTTTGTATGATGGAGTGAGTAGTTTAAGAAGTTCGCATATTATGGGGATGAGGAGCTAAGGTTCTGATTGTGCATTCTGACATTTATAGAGGAATGACATATTATATGAGTTGCAGATTTAACCTTGATTACTTGCTGCTATGTTTTACAAAATGCATCTATTTAAGACGTAAAGTTGTAAAAACAAATACAAAACCAAAGGCGAGTATAGCGATATTAGAAATTTTGGGTTTTCCATGTTTTGTTTCTCCTTGTGTTTTGGTTAACTGTCATAAGTAGTTTTCATAAGTAGATCTATTTGTCATTAAGCCCTCCTATGTAGCTACTTATTTTAGTTGGGGATGTAAACTTTTAGAATTCCCTTTTACTTGCTCTCTTTTGTCATTAGTTTTTAGGTTCTGCCACAAGTCAATTTAATATGTGTATCTGCTTTGATTTGTACTTCTTGTTTTTTCTTGAGTGTGTGTGCATACGTTTGTTCATGATTGGAGTGTTGAGCTTATGACTTCTTTTTGTTCGTCTAGTCCTGTGCCACTGAGTCTGTGTGGGGCCATGTCTTCGTAAAGGGAAAGGTTTTGGTGACGGGGCTCGATTTATTGGTAGTCACAGCAATTACTCTCTGCATTTGTCTATGTGTCATGTTCTGCAACCTTGAACTTTGTGTAGATCTTAGCTTAAACTAATCAGTTTTTTCTGTACAATGTGGAATTTTTATCTATCTTCTTGGGAGCCCATGTACTATCTAGGGGTGTTTGTTGGCGTGTATTATCAAACATGTGCTCGGCATTTGATATGTAAATGCATTGCTTGATTGTTGCATCTCACATTTTCAAAAGATATCAGTTGCAAGCAAATGTTTCGTATGATGGAGTGAGTAATTTAAGAAGTTTGCATATTATGGGGATGAGGAGCTAAGGTTCTGATTTTTTGGTACTTAGATATGCATTCTGACATTTATAGAGGAATGACATATTATATGAGTTGCAGATTTAACCTTGATTACAAACACTGCTGCTATGTTTTACAAAATGCATCTATGTATGGCTTAAGGTTGTAAAAACAAATACAAAAACCAAAGGCGAGTATAGCGATACTAGAAATTCTGGGTTTTCCATGTTTTGTTTCTCCTTGTATTTTGATTAACTGTCATAAATAGTTTTCATAAGTAGATCTATTTGTCATTAAGCCCTCCTATGCAGCTACTTATTTTAGTTAGGGATGTAAGCTTTTAGAATTCCCTTTTACTTGCTCTCTTTTAGTTGGAGTATAATAGATTTAATGCTTTAGCAGTTCTTGAAGACAATTATTGAGTTGCTTGAACTCTGAATATGCCTGACGATGGTAAAAACTATTCTTGAAGAAACTAAGCTTCATGGAGAAAGCCAAAGGCCAAATAAATGTAAAGGAACACTTTGCAAGCAAACTCAATTTGTCGCTCGAATTTCCATGGGCAAAACTTTTGGAACTCTTGGAGATCCTTTTTCCCTGGTAGTTTGTTATGAATAATCATTATTTACGTAGTAGTGCGATTATTCGTTAGGTACAATGATAAAAGCGACATTTATAGCTTTGGGATGATATTGGGCGTTGTATTAACCGGAAGGGACCCGAACGACACATCCTTTGGTAGCATGGAAGAATGGCTTAGGTAAAATGCAGCAAGAACGTGAAGCTTGAGAAGCACTAGACAAGAATATCCTGGTTGGGCAACAAGTCGAACAAGATGAGATGAGATGCTAATGGCTTTAAGAATTTCTATTGGTTGCCTGTCGGACTTCTGATCGACCTCCAGCGACGAGCTCCTTTCTATGCTCACTCAATTAAATAGTTTCTGAAATGTGTCTGTGTGTTTTTACCTTTTTTTTTTTTCTTTTTCCTTTCATGTCGACTTTTGCTTGTATTAATTTCTTAACCTTGTAGTTTTGCTTGACCGGCCAATGCTGCGAAGGTGGTTTGAAATATCCAAGCAAATATCTTTAAGGTGACAACTTCCAGACCGTAATCGCATCATTCTCGGAGACTTGCTCAGAATGAAGAATTTGACTCACTTTGCTCTCTTGGTATTCTATTCTCCAAGCGGGTCTTGTACCCATTGGACCCTGGTCACCAAAAGCGATTCATAATAGTGCACAAATTCATTGGAAACCGCATCGTTGAGAAATATATCAGAAGCAGTAGTAGGTGGGGAGAATTGAAGTAGCTTCATTCCCGAGCACCTTTCTCTTTGATAAATGCTTCTGTTCTTCCTCAGTGGTCTCATTATCATACTTTTTGTCGTCCAGTCTATTGAGAAATGCTTCCAAAGTTATCATACCAAATTCTTATTCAGGTACCAGCAGTTATGCTTCTTTTGGTCATGTTTGGAGGCTATGACATGATTTGCCATGAGTCTTAAGCTACTCATGGTGTAACTGCTATTATATTCACATATAGAAGAAAAATATCTAGAAGCCTATGTTGTCATATATTTGGTATATTGCTGAGACGTGGACGTAGTTAAAATTTGTAATGCCAACTTCCTACAATAGTGGAGCTAGTTCTTTTGAGGTCTGAAACTGATCCTGATTCTGTATGTAACCTCTCTTTGTTTGAGCAACAAAGTTGTTTTGGTATCTAATTGTTATTTCTTTTTGGTGGCTTTGTATTTCTTAGATTTTTGTGGAGAGCTATTGAGATCACGTTTGGTTTTATATAATTACTATATTAAAGCCTCTGTTGATTGTTAAGTTATTGCATTTGACCTTTTTCTCTCTTTTCTTTATGTGGTATAGTCAACCCAACTCAAACCACAAGGAGTTGAAAATATTATCAACACATCAAACTAGTTCACTCAAAGACCATAACAAATCCAAACTATGCTCTAAAATTTAGCCATCAAAACATAAAAGTAAGGGCATCATCATCTGCAATAGTGGAATAGTAATGACAAGGCATCTGATCTAGAAGTATCTAGAGATGGAAGCAAGGTCATGTCTTCAATGCACGATACTTCATAGCACATTGTAAGCTTTTAGCTACAGAATGAAAAAGACCACAAGAAAACCATCTGAAGATGAAGTATGTTGTGCTGCAATGTAAAGGATGCAAATATATCTTAACATCCCAAATGAAAAAATTCCTTTGTTGCAATGTAAAGGATGAAAATATATCTTAAGATCACAAATGAAAATTTTCCTGTACAGTATAAACGCATGTCTTCATAGTTCGATAATTAGCTGAATATACACAAACATCATTTTGCATGAGAATACAAAATTCCATTTACATCTCTAACTTCTCTCCCTTAGCAACCTCAGGGAAAAAAAACACACACACACTTAGCTGAAATCCTATGGAATATAGTTGGTAACAAAAATAAGCCACAGATAACAAAATTGAGCGACAACAAAGACGAGTTAATGGGGAGCTTATATTTAACATTCAACTCCTTCAACAAGATCCTCCAGTTCCAGAAGTTGAAGTGCAATAAAGGACGGATCCACAAACTAATAGTAGACTGGGCTATAATTTTTTAAATTCATTTTCATAAAAATTACATAATTTTTTTTTTTTTTCAAATATTCACTGAAGTTGTGCTCGACGAGCTTATACAGAATAAAATTCATTATACTCATTTTACATCGTATTTGATGTGTTTTCACTAGTTTGACGATCCCGTTTTCTAAAGAACAATGATATCAATGAGGGTTTTATTTTCTTGACTGAATGTTGGTGCTTCATGTGAATTTTTAAAATTCCACAATACCAATAACTGATTTTCCATATGACATAGTTGTTAGCAAAATGAAATGTATATGCATCATAAAATTAAATCCAAATATGATATACAACAATAACACTAGAGGATAATAGATGAAAAAAAAAATACACAAAAACAAATACTAATCATACATAATTAACAAAATAAGAATTGCAACCAAATGATCCTAGCAATTAATATTAAAATCCTGACTAGTTCAACTAAAATGAAAAGATACATAAAAAAAATTATACAAATGAAACAAATATCTAATATGTGGTTTTAAAAATATAACTTACTGTCAAAGAATAAATTAAATTATCTTCTTGAAAGTAGTCTCTTTCTTGTTGAATAGTTTATTTTTTTATTTATTTTTTATTTTTCTATATTCATTGTTCTGGTATTTAGAGGAGGGGCATGTCATTTATTTGATTTGAATTTGTTGTATAATGGTGTTTTGTGGGTTAGTGCCTAGTGAAAATGATGAATGAACAATATATAATATTTTATTAGAGTGGTGTTTGTACTTTGTAGTCTTTGGACTTAAATAGATAAGTGAATTATTTTGATGAGTTAGTGAGTTGGTTTATTGGGCTGGACTAGAAACACAATAAATAAAATTTTAAACTAATAGTTGTTAAAAAAGAAAATAACAGGTCTAGACTTCAGTCCAGTCCAGGCCTAATGTAGATCTGACACTGAGTGAGTTGGCAAATTTTCTCTTGGCATTTGCAGTATCTGGATAGAGCTTCTGAAGGATAAATAATCCAGAACAATCACCTTTGACAATACAAAAAGTTCACCCAAAAAAATAAAAACATGCTTAATCATTATATATATATATATAATTACTAGCTATAACCAATAAATAAAACCTATTTAATTTTACCTATGTGGCATTCCCGCTAAAAATCGTTACTTTTTAATTTATTATATTTTTTATTTTTTTATTTCACAAAATATATAAGTCTTTGATATTAATGTTTGATTGTGTTAAAATTGGCAAGAACTTATTTACTGTGTACAATATCGTAGCAATTATTGTAGACGTTACAGATGTTTGATTTGACGTAATCTTTTAGTTAACTCAAATATGCCAACAAAAGTTTTGAAACATAAGGTCAACATTTGTAGAACGCTTACTAAATTTCTCAAAAAAATATTGTTTTAGCACTCGATCTGACAATATTTAACTACATTTGTAAATAGTATATTAAATTCCCATAAAATAAAAAAGGTTTTAATACTAGATTTGCAGAGATATGTGTTTTTTTTTAAAAAAAAATCATATAAAATTTCTTTAGATCTTAATAGATCTTTTAAATTATTGCACTCTTCTTACAAATTATCTATACTTATATAATAAGAATTAACATTTATCCGAAATAGTAGGTCAAATTATGATCAATGTCGGATTTGCATTAAATATTTTCCAAAACCGATAAGTTTTTGTCCTTTTCACACTTCTCATTAATTATGTCATTTTCACACTTCTCATTAATTATGTCTTTTTCACACTTCTCATTAATTATGTCCTTTTCACACTTCTCATTAATTATGTCCTTTTCACACATCTAATTAATTCATTAATTACGACATAATTATCATAAATCATTTCATCTGAGCTTTTATCGTTAAAATGTATATTGATCTGTTATGACCTTATCCCATTGATATTTCCATGAAGCGTCCTTATCGTGTTCTATTTTTTGGTAACCACTCTATATCAATAACCGGATATTTGGTTAATGATACCACACGTCTTTATTTCAAGGAGCGGATATTCTTTGACCTTTAATTAATCTGAACTGATTGCCTTGACTTTTCAATTTTTAAAAACTCTTTTTTTAAATATTTCGGCTTAAGATTCGGATTTCATTATACAAGTCATCGGATTGTTTGAATGAAAATGAATTAAAAGAACACCAAAAACAGGTAGCCTTATTCATATAACCAATCCTAAAATATTGGTTTGTTCACCAAAAAGAGACAAATCCTAGAAATCCTAAAATATTTGTTTGTTCACCAATCCTAAAATATTAGTTTGTTCACTGATATAGCCACATAAGGATAACCCGGTCTAGAGGCTTCCTACTCGACCGATAAGCCACTTGAACGACTCACATGTCAACATGACTCCGTCGACATGCTCACATCGACTTCCCTAAAGTCGACTCTACCGAGAGCTATCAAGAAGAGACAGAAATTGGTCTAGTCGACTCTCACAAGTCGACCTCTAACTATCGACTTTTGCTAGTCGACATCATATTAGAAGGACATCAAGAATGTAACTCCTAACCACCCAGATACTCTAGGTCGACTTCCACTAGTCGACTTCGCCATGACGACTCTCTAAAGACGATTGCACCGCAGAGAGTCAAACCAGGTGTAGCCTCCAAAACCGCACATATTCACAAGTCGACTTCCTAGTTCTCGAGGTCGACTCTATGCATCTCAAAGATCAAAGTGGTGAAGACGATTCACCACACTTGTAACATATCTGAAGCTCTACACATTACAAAGGATAAGAAGGAATCTTGTGATGACTCAGCAATAAGGGGAGACGAATCGACCAGGGTATTTTAGACCTTCTAGGTCCACTGACTTGGGCATTTTGGGCAGTTCAAGTAAGTATTCGCTCCTATATAAAGGAGATGAGGTAACCCCAAACCCTAACTCTCATTCACTCCCATTCTCCGCTGCTGCGCAGCCTCTCCTCATCACTCACATACTGACTTGAGTGTCGGAGGCTCTACGCCGGAAACACCTCCGGCGTTGAGTTTTGCAGGTATTCTCGCGGTCTAGCAACGGTTCGAAGGCGATTCAAACAGATTTGGGCTCTTTACCACCGGTTCGCTTTAGATCTGGAAGTAGACCCATCATTCACCAAAAATATTAGTTTGATTTTTAGGATTTGTCTCTATTGAAAATATTAGTTTGTGATAATGAGGAGTTACCAAATAATCAAACTCATAATGTTGTGTACAAGGAGGCTTTTAATAATATATGATTGTTACCGAACTTTTTATGATTCAACAATGTTCCTATGTATTTTAATGATTT